AGCCCGTGGCCGTCATGTCGACTCTTACAGGAACTATCGTGGCCGACGTCCAGGATGTATACCCAGACTACCCTGCACATTTGATTGCATCCGCTCTCGCTGTCATTTGCGGTGGTATTGTCCTAGTGATGGGTCTCCTGCGCATCGGATTCATTGTCGATTTCATTTCTCTCCCCGCTATTTCGGCCTTCATGACCGGGTCGGCTCTGAACATTTGCGCGGGACAGGTTCCGACCATGCTGGGTGAGACGGCCAAATTTAGTACGCGCGGTGCCACCTACGAGGTCATTATCAACACCCTCAAATACCTCCCCACCTCGACGTTGGATGCTGCTATGGGTGTTACTGCCTGTGCAATGCTCTACATTATCCGTTCAGGATGCAGTTACGCCGCGAGGAAGCAGCCTGCTAGGGCCAAGATTTGGTTCTTTGTCTCGACTCTTCGGACCGTGTTTGTGATTTTGTTCTACACCATGATTAGTGCCGCCACGAACTTGCACCGAAAGGATGATCCAGCATTCAAGCTCCTCGGGACAGTCCCTCGAGGATTCCAACAGGCCGCCGTGCCCACTATGGATTCTAAGATCATTAAAGCCTTCATTGGCGAACTTCCAGCTGCGGTCATCGTTCTTCTGATCGAGCACATTGCCATTTCCAAGTCTTTCGGCCGCGTTAACAACTACACTATCGATCCCTCTCAGGAATTTGTAGCTATTGGTGTGAGTAACCTTCTCGGGCCTTTCCTTGGTGGCTACCCCGCGACTGGATCTTTCTCCCGGACAGCTATCAAGTCTAAAGCTGGAGTACGGACACCCCTTGCTGGTGTTATCACTGCGGTCGTGGTGCTATTGGCTATCTATGCCCTTCCCGCTCTCTTCTTCTACATCCCCAAGGCTTCTCTGGCTGGTGTCATTATCCATGCTGTCGGCGATCTGATCACGCCCCCCAACACTGTTTACCAGTTCTGGCGCGTGTCTCCGCTTGATGCGATAATTTTCTTCATTGGTGTCATTGTCACTGTCTTCTCTTCCATTGAAAATGGTATCTACTGCACAGTCTGTGTGTCGATTGCAGTTTTGCTTTTCCGTGTGGCCAAGGCCCGCGGTCAGTTCCTGGGTCGTGTCACTATCCACTCCGTTGTAGGAGACCACCTGTTGAATGGCGATGGAAAGTACGGATCTTTCGGAACTGACAAGTCTCCCTCCGACGATGAGGAACGCCACCACCGAACCATCTTCCTTCCCATCAATCACACTGATGGCTCAAACCCCGACATTGAAGTGGAGCAGCCCCTTCCTGGTATCTTCATCTACCGCTTCTCCGAAGGATTCAACTATCCCAACGCCAACCACTACACTGATTCCCTGGTTCAAAGCATCTTCAAGAACACCCGCCGAACGAACCCGCACACCTTCAAAAACCGCGGTGACCGTCCCTGGAACGACGCTGGTCCCCGCCGCGGCAAGGAAGGCAGCGACGACGACTCACACTTACCCCTTCTCCAAGCCGTCATTCTGGACTTCTCTTCCGTGAACAACGTCGACGTGACCTCAATCCAGAACCTGATCGACGTGCGCAACCAGCTGGATATGTACGCCTCCCCCCGCACCGTGCAATGGCACTTCGCACACATCAACAACCGCTGGACAAAGCGCGGCCTGGCTGCCGCAGGCTTCGGTTACCCGACACCCGTCGCGAGTGACGGCTTCCACCGGTGGAAGCCCATTTTCAGTGTGGCCGAGATCGAAGGCAGCGCCTCAGCCGCCGCCCACGCCGAAATCATCGCCAACCAGCGGGAGCAGTCCCACAAGACCACGGATATTGAATCCGGCTTTAAGTCCGATTCCAATACCACCGCACGCGAGACCGACGGCATCGAGACCGCGTCCGAGGACTCGGAGGTCATCCGCGAGGACAAGTTCAATCGCGAGATCACAGACAGCAAGGCGTACCAGCGTCGTCCTAAGGTTGCGCTCGTGCAGGGCATGAACCGGCCTTTCTTCCATATCGACTTGACCAGTGCTCTTCAAAGCGCCGTTGCCAATTCCTCGGAAGAGATCCCTCATGTTGAGTGATTCTCTTTCATGCGTTTTATTTCTTCGATTCTGCATCTATTGCTTGCTACGTCTCTGCATCGATCGGTTGTTCCTCCCTGGTTTGGAGTCTGATCTGATATACCCCGATTATGACCTGTTAATATCATGTTCGCCCCGGTCATGTTTTTATTTTCACATTTTCGCCTCCCCATACTTTTGTCACTTAGCACTGTCTATATTGGATGGATTCCACTGACTATGGACATCCTGTTGTGGTATATTCTTTCAGCACTATTCCCTTGGTTTGCATGTGTTGGTTTATTTGGTCTGGGTCTTGTTTATTGACCCTTTTGGACCTGGGAAGAAACGGATTGTTTAGAATGGACTTGACTCCTACTTGATTTCTTCCTAGGGATATATATACATACTGCATATCTGTTTTTGATAGACCTCGCTTGGTGAATCTATTCCAACTTATCGTTTGAACATCCATGATAGCCCGTGTAGTCCCTCGAATCTCAACCCTCCTCGTAATCAATGATTAGCAACGCAACACAGCCTTCAGACCTGCCCAGGTGTCACATATCTGATTGATAATCATCCTCAACCACGCCCTGTGACATACTAACCGTCTCCACTTCTTCCGAGTCTAACCGCGCAACCCGACTAACCTAACCCACATATGCTGAAGGCGCAATTCAATTCTAAGCTCTACCTTGTCCATTGTCTAAGCATTTCCAAGGGCGCTCGAGCTTAGCAAAAGCTATAATAGTTATAACTCCGAGATATGCAGTTAAGGGAAGCTTCCAAGGTCAAGACAGTATGACGATGAATCAAGATGATTTCCTATTACAGACTAGCGCCTTCCGAAAACGTCCATATTGTATGAACATCATGTGGTATACCATTTTTCAATTGAAGCTTCTTCGGCTAGACGTTCGCCTAGGTGGATCCATAGTAATATAAGACTAATAAGACTGATATATCAGAACCCTATATATTCTTCCCACATCCCCAAGAACATACGCTACACCAAAATGGCCAATCCCCAATCAACAAGCACCGGTATCTCCCTCCAAGACCTAAACAAAAACCTAGAAGAAAGGCCCGCACGAACAACCAACCAAAATGATCTCTCAACAACCGCCTCCGAAACAGACATAATGCAACAATCCCTCCTAGCAGACTCACAAGTCCCCGACGGCGGCGAAGCCTGGGTCGTGATATCAGGTTGCGCAGTGGTAACATGGTGGTTCATCGGAACATCCTACTGCTGGGGTATTCTCCAAGCAGCGCTCGTAAAAGAAGGCGTATCAACATCGTCAACGCTAGCATTCGTCGGATCCCTCGCAACAGCATGTATCTCCTTCCTGGGCATTCTGAATGCACGCATTATCCGCAGACTCGGGACGCGCAGATCTGCCTTGGCGGGCGTGTTCTTTTTGGGTCTTGGTGAGGTGCTGAGTGGGTTTTCGGCTATGAGTATTGGGGGTTTGTTTGCTACGGCTGGTATTGTCATGGGTGTTGGAATTAGGTGAGATTGATCCGGTCTGGAACTTCTTTTGTCCATTAAAGATGGTATATTTGGCACGCTGGCTATATACCAGAGCTTATGGCTGGGAGAGGATACTTTACCACACTGTTACTGTTACTGTTGCTGACCAGCACTACCAGTCTCTGCTTCATGGTCGTCTCCGTCATGCCGGCACAGTATTTCCGAGCGAAGCGCGGAATCGCGAATGGCATCGTATATGCGGCAGGTGGACTGGGCGGTGCTGTGATTAGCTTCGTCATGAATGCGCTTCTCGAGCGCGTCGGCGTCCAATGGACGTTCCGGATTATCGGGTTTGCTACTTGGGCAACGGGCTTGCCGGCTGCGTATTTGATCAAGCAGCGGGTTCCGATTCCGCCTTCGGCTGTTGTGGATTGGTACGGTCTACTACTACATTCCTATAATGCTTTGCGTTTTGTGACAGTGTCATTGTTGATCACCAGACTAACCACCTCTATAGGCGTCTATTCCGCGACATCCGCTTCGTCCTCCTTTTCGCAATGGGCTCAATCGCCACGTTCCCCCTCCTGGTCCCACCTTTCTTCCTACCTCTCTTCACAGCTTCGTTGGGAATGTCATCCGGCACGGGAGCGGGTATTGTCGCCGCATTCAATTTCTCCTCTGCGCTGGGGAGATTGCTTTGCGGGCTGTGCAGTGATATCGTCGGACCGCTGAATACGCTGTTTATTTCTCTTCTGCTAAGCGCACTGAGCATGCTGATTATCTGGCCTATCTCTACTTCTCTGGGGCCGTTGATTGTCTTTGTTATTGTCAATGGTATGGCGAATGGGGGCTTCTTTTCAACTATGCCTACTGTTGTTGGGAATACGTTTGGCTCGGCGAGGGTGTCTGTTGTCATGGGAATGGTTGTGACGGGTTGGGCTGGGGGTTATTTGCTTGTAAGTTGACTGGCTGTGGTTGCTTCTGTGGTTTTATAGAAGCGCTTGCAGTACTAACTGTTTCATAGGGCGCCCCAATCGCTGGGTTTATCCTCGATGCTGCTGGCGGGGAGGATAAGGGGATTATGGGTTACCGTCCGGCTATTGTCTATGCTGGTGCGATGGCTCTTGTTGCTTCTATTATTGGGCTTTCTATTCGGCTGAAGACTGATAAACAACTGCTCAAGAAGCTCTAGGGCGGGTATATCTGGGTTATAAATATTGTATAAAGTTATTACCGCACTGTAGAATATAGAATCTACATAGATAAAATACACGAATAGCCAAATAGACAAAATAAAGAAAAGAGGAGTTCAAAACAAGCGAGGTATATAGATGGCCGAGGTTCATCTGGGCCCCATTCCAAGTACTGCGAACTACGCCGCATCCGCCAGAACGTCAACCTCAGGTCTTTTTATTATATTCAGCCTTTTCCCTTCTACAAAGGTCTACTAGTATATTATTCAATTCAAAATGACTCTGAAAGTAGTCAATTGCCTGAGACGCCCAGCACTGCACCTCAGAAGTCTGGCCATTCCTGCACGTCAATCACCTATCAAAATATGCATCGCGCAATATAGCTCCCACTCACCAATGGGCTCAACAGCCACCAACACCCGCAAAAAAGTAACAATCCAAACCATCCAAAACCTCTACAAAAAGAACGAACCCATCACAGTCCTTACAGCATCCGATTTCCCTAGCGGCCATGTGGCCGACACAGCCGGAATGGAGATCGTGCTCGTAGGCGACAGCCTCGCGATGGTCGCAATGGGCATGGAAGACACAAACGAAGTAACAATGGACGAGATGCTCCTACACTGCCGCAGCGTGAACCGCGCCGTCAAGAGCGCCCTCACAGTGAGTATAACCATACATACATACCCATCCATATCAATACTACACCACCAAAATGCATCAACATCTCACAGCCCGCAACAGATCGCAGACCTACCCATGGGCTCATACGAAACAACTCCAGAAAAAGCACTAGAGTCCGCAATTCGGATGGTAAAAGAAGGCGGGATGAAGGGAGTGAAACTCGAAGGCGGGGCGGAGATGGCGTCTACCATCCGCAAGATCTCGCAAGCAGGGATCCCAGTCATGGCGCACATCGGGCTAACGCCCCAGCGCCAGCACTCCCTGGGTGGGTTCCGCGTGCAGGGCAAGTCAGCCGCGGGCGCTGTGAAGCTGCTGCGGGATGCATTGGCTGTGCAGAAGGCGGGGGCTTGTATGGTTCTCATTGAGGCTGTGCCGCCTGAGGTGGCGGAGATTGTTACGCGGCGGCTGAGCGTGCCGACTATTGGGATTGGGTCTGGGAATGGGTGTTCTGGACAGGTGCTTGTGCAGGTTGATATGTTGGGAAATTTCCCTGAGGGAAGGTTTTTGCCCAAGTTTGTCAAGACTTATGCGGATGTTTGGGGAGAGGCAAGGAGGGGGATTGAGGCTTATAGGGAGGAGGTTAAGAGTAGGGCTTTTCCTTCGGTAGAGTATACTTATCCTGTTTCTAAGGAGGTGTTGGAGGAGTTTGAGAAGGTTGTTGATGAGGTTGCTGGTGAGAATGAGTAAGAAATCAGCGCCTGTTGTATCTTTGTGTCTCTAGCTGCTCAAGCAGTATGTATATGTTGAAGGCCTTGGGCCATAGTCTTGACCTTTGATATCTGCCCATCAGAGGTGATGGCAATTTTATATATTCCAAGTGATCTTCCAGCCTGCGGACATGCTTGGAAACAGGGTCGGTCCCCAGGTATCGATTAGAAGCATGTAACAATCCAATTCGTACAGAGCATATACAACCCCCTAAAGCATCACCCAACAAGCCAACTTGCAGTTTTTAAATAGAATCCAATATCCCAACAGCTGATACTCTTTCACCTCAAGACACCCCCGACACCAGCCCACCCAAGAACAAACCCACTAAGCGCCTCACTCATGACACCCCCACCAAACCAAACATCCCTCCAAGCACCCTTGCGGAGAATCTTCCTTGGACCAGCCTTCCCACCAAGCTGCATGCGCACAGCCTTACTCTTCTCATCCATCTCAATAACACCCTCCACCTCGCCAGTGTTACTACCAGGGAAGAAAGAGCCGGCACCTGCACCACTGGAGCGGTGTATCAGCACCGCATGGAAGAGCCCTGATACCAGGATCGTGCCGAGGAAGTAGAAGGCGAAGCCGTAGCCTGATTGGAGGGCTAGGATTCCTGCGGACAGGCCGAGGAGGAAGGAGGTTAGGCTGTGGAGGGAGGAGAGTACCTATTTTCCATTCTCAGTTGGTTATGGTATTTAGAATTGAGGAAGCAGATGTGAATTTGATATTGTGTGGGGATATGGAGATGCATGTGGCGCGAGATAGGGGTGCTTGGATGGGATGTGGGATGTAGGAAAGTCATACGCGGTTGTTGTGCTGGACGGCCTCGGGTACGAGAGGGGTGATTAGCAGGGAGAGTTCCTGCTTTGTTGGTGCCATTTTGGCTGATTTCGTGTCCTTTTGTTCCCCGATTTGTTGTAGTTGATGTTTGGGTTGAGAGGTCGAGCTATGGCTCTCGGTGTTCGTTGCGGGTGTTGCTCACGTTCCGAGCAGAGTTTTGCTGGTTTTGACTAAGATTGCAGAGCCGTTGCTGTTCAATGGCGATGAAATTGTTGTACCGGGAGATATTCTCGTGGAGGGGTTGTCACAGCAGCTCTCGGCTTGAGCAGATAAAGGTCGGAAGTGGCAGCGAGTTTCTAGAAGTGCACGGGCCACACGGTCTCTCTGGGCAGTTTCCCAGAATGATATTCAAATGCTTCAGACTAATACTACATTCGACAGTAGTGCAATACTATTGAGGATATCTTAACGTAAATCAAATCAATCATGTTCATATCTACTATTAACCCGAATCCAATGTTCAATATTTCCGAGCCTTCCTCATGAATCCGTTCACATCACAGCGTTTGATACATTTCAAATCCCCATGTCCTCGATTATGCTGTAGACATAGCAGAAAGAAAATGCCAGTTCAATGATGTCGCTGACTTTAAATTCAAATACCACATTAAACCAGATTTTCGAATTTACCATCGACACGGGCCTCCTTGACCTGCTCAAAGACCTGATGGAAATGTTAGTGGATGATCAGAATCAAATATCAAGCAACGCTTACCTTTAGCATTTTGTTGCGTGCACCCAAAGCATTGACACCACGATCTTCCAGAGCCTTGTCGTCCAGTTCGACCAGTTCCGTCCACTGCAGGTCCTTCAGGTTGTCGGTATACTTGTGCAGCCTGAGGGATCGCAGCCAGCTGGGGATATCCTTCAGGAGAGCCGGGTCTGTGGGGTCCTCAGGCGGCTTCGAGCTGCCGCGGCGACCTCGCGGAGAGCGGCCCCGTGTGACCTCCGAGTGGTCTGACAGGTAGCCTTCACTACCCAGACCAAACTGCCCAATGTTTAAAGAGCCCAATCCATTACCCATAAGAGGGTTGCTGGGATCGTATGCTGCCAGGAATCCATTGTTCTGCGGTGAGGTGAAGCCCATCGGGGTCAGGCCACCACCGTGCATAGCAATGCCGGGCGATGTTGGGCGAGACCGTCTACCAGCCATAGCCGCCTGTTGCTGGGCCTGCAGAGCTGCGAGCTGCTGAGTATTGAGAAGCTGACCGGCCACCAAGTGCTGTCCACCCAGGCCTGGGCTAGCCAAGCCCTGGGAGAGAATCGGGTTTCCATGCGAGTTTTTGCCCTGGCCATCATTGGAGCGAGCACGGCGATACTTGCGCGCGTCATCCAGAGCAATGCGGTTGTTTACTGTCGACAAAGCAGCCAGCTTCATTGCCGTGGCATTTGCCACCATGTCCGCGTGAGTGTTGGGGTTCTGGTGCGATTGCTGGCCGAAAGTCGCAGTCATCGGAGTGTTGGTCATTGACGCCCAGCTGTGGTTGCCGACGTTGTATGGCGAAAGCAAGGGGGGCTCGATATCGGGAGCGGGGATATTGGCAGTCTGGGGGAGAGGCGAGCGCATACCAGAGGTCTGGCTGAACTGGCCCATAGGCTGGTGTCCGGAGGATGACTTGGGCCGAGCTATCGGGGGCTGCGTGTCTGAAACACCACGCTGGGTCCACGGAGAGCCAGGCTGTTGACCCAGGCCGTCCGAATTGTTGTCAGGCGCCGAGATGGTGGGGGCCACGAAAGAGGCACGATCGAAGACTGCGCTATTGCGGTTCGACGGAGGTGCGTTGCCAGTTTGCTGGGTGAATTCGGCCTTCTTCTTCGCAATGGCCGCAGCAGCATCCGGGAACATCGCATTGATGGTAGAAGGGTCGAGAACAGAGTTGCGCTTCGCGCCAGGGGATGGCGGGGGTCGTCCGAGGGAGTTCCGGGAGGTGTCCATGTTAAGCTTTGACATAGCATCGCTCAGGCGGCTGGACATGGCATCTACGCGACGAAAAGTAGGTTAGTTACATCCCGAAGGTGAGGTGGACAAATTGTCATACCTTTTTCGCCAAAATTGGCAGGGGAAAGCAGGCCAGACATCGGGTGACCCTGAGACATTTGCTGCAGGACTTGGATGAAAAACCGGATCTGCACCTGAGTGGTCTGTTGCAGCAAGGCATATAGGGCCGCAGTTCTCTCAGCTTCACTCAGAACACGGAACCATTGCTCGATGGCACTGAGTTCATCCTTGAAGTCCTGATCAAGCGTGGCAGCTGCCATTTCTTCCAATGTAGTTTCGTACTGATCAATATCCGCAAGCCATTGTTGAGCGGCACGGTCCAAAGCATCTTCCGTCGCATTCTGACCTTGGGTTTGTTGATTGAAAAAGACCTCCGATGATGGACGGATGCTTCGGGCGGACAGCGGCGAAGGGAACCCGGACATGTCTGCCGACGCCCGCAGCTGGTGCGATCCGAGGTTTCGCGATGAGGATGGAGGACGGAGGGTTGAATTCGACGCTTCAGGAGTGCTGTTGCGATTGCCAATTATATGACTGGCCATGGTTTAGGGCGAAGTGTTGAGAGGATGACTAGTAAATACAGTGGGTGGGGAAATGATTACTGCAAAACACCTGCAGGACCTGCTGAGTTTGCGTAACAAATAAAATCAAAAAACCCTTGAACCAGGATCCAGGCTAGGATCCTAAGGTATCAGACGACGCTGAAAAGATCCAGATCTCTCGTTAAAACGATGGCACAGACCAGTCCAGTGGGCTGCACCTCGGAAATTTGAGATAGAAAAATTAAGGCCTGGAACGAAAGGAAATTGAGACTTGAAGCAATAGTGTGTCAAACACAGTCAAGCCACCGAGTCCCAAAGAAAGAGGAGAAGGAAAGAAAAGGGGGAAGAGAAGAGGTTAGGTGGGGAGAGAGAGAAGAGAGAGGAAGAGGAAAGTTGGGGATGAAGAAGTTTGGTGAAGAGGCTTTTCTGTTTCAGGCCGCGAGATCACGGGTTCACCGAGGAGAACCTCAGAGCCAACATTCTTTCTTGACTTCTTCATATCTCTGCTTTTTCAGTCTTCAAACACTTCTTCTATTTTCTTTTCTTTCCTGGGAATTCCGATCCTCCTGGTCAGATCTGAATATTTTCTTCAGCTCTGGTGGAGACAGTTACTATGAATATCTGCCGAGCCCGGACCTGAAACTCAGCGCGCTCCAACTATACTGGATTGATCATGAACTCCCTGGATGATCCACGTTTCAGATGATCGTCTCAAGCTATAGCTTTTATCAACAGTGGAAAACACTTTCTATTGAACTTTAGATCGTCAGTGGCCATGAGTTCCCAGCATTACCCGGACGGGGTTCCTCTGGATGAGGAAATGCAGGAGGGAGAGTCGGCATATCCAGATATCGATGGAATTGTTCATTATCCATGGCGAAATGATCAATCTTTCGACGTCGGGGACATGCTTGCCTCAGTGATTGATCCTCGTTTGTTTGGGGACCAAAACCCACAAACTCAACCCCAAAGCATCAATCAATATCCTCAAGATGCCGAAGAAGCTCAAGGCGAAGTCGAAGAGCAAGAAGTTGACGGCTTTTACCCGGATGAATATGACAGTCAGGGGTACCCCCCAGTGTCGTATCCTCCAGTGCCTGGCGAGGGAGCCGTGTCAGACGAGGACTTTACCTTATCTGGAGACGAAAGCGAGAGGTATGTATGCAGAGACAAAACATGTTTAACTCTAGTTAACATGATACTAGTGAGTCTGATGAAGACGAACCAGCGGAGGATGATGACGATGATCGTTCAGGCGCCAGCAGGCGCCGCCGCCGTGGAGGTGGACGCTTTTCCGGGAGATGGGGCGCTCGCGGTGGAAAGGGCATCAAAAGAGGACCACGCAAACCGCTGGAGCCCAGTCCGGAATTCAAACATCTTCATTCGGGGGCTACCTCTGCCTTCATTGATGGAGACTACGAACGGGCCATTGATCTGGTGATGCAGGCGATTCAGATTAATCCCGAGATGTTTGCTGCCCATTCTTTGCTCTCAGAGATTTTCCTCGCACAAGGAGAAAATGATAAAGCCCTAGCAGCTCTATTTAACGGAGCTCATACGAGGCCGAAAGATCCCGGTGTCTGGATTAAAGTTGCTCGGCTTATCTTGGACCGGGCTGGAGAGAATCGGCAGTCCGCATTACATGATGTTGCTTATTGTTACAGTCGCATCCTCGAGGTCAGCCCCGGTAACACGAATATTCGGTTCCAGAGAGCAGCGATCTACCGTGAGTTAGGTCACAATGGCCGAGCCGCAGCTGAGTATGAGAGACTACTCAAAGATTGTCCACACAGTGCCAGAGCACTGCGACATCTCGCAGAAACGTACATTGATCTCAATGACGTACAAAAAGCAGCAGATTATTATGCAGACAGCATTGATCACTACCTGTCTCTCGACCCTGAGGCCTCTGAATTTACTTGGTCGGATCTCAACATCTATGTTGAGCTTTTTGGCTATCTCAATCAACCTGAGGAAGGACTCATATCTTTGAAAATACTCGCTCGTTGGCTTCTAGGTCGCGGAGAAGACTCAGCATGGGACGGCCACGAGGATGATGATAGAGAATGGGACGCTGATGATTCCCCTCGACGGATCAAAACCGATGGTTTTGTGCCCGGTCAGTGGCCCCGAGAGTCGTACGGGATTGGCCTTCCGTTGGAGCTTCGGATAAAAATGGGCGTTTTCCGCCTGAAATTGGGCGACAAGCATCACAACGAGGCATTGGTGAGTTTGATCTCGGATAACCATAACGATTGAATAAAAGTACTGACAGAATATACCTAGCATCATTTTGAATGGCTTAACCCTGAAGACGATTCCGAAGGTGCCCGGATCTTCGACTATGGTGATCTTTTCAGGGAAGTGGCAGATGCTCTAAAACGAGCTGGTCTCTTCGAAGAAGCACTCCGATACTATACGCCCATCCAGCAGACCGCTGAGCATGCCGATATTAGCTTCTTCATGGCCATGGCTGATTGCTGCATGCAGCTGGGCAAGATGGAAGATGCTGAAAGCTGTTATCTGCTCGTCGCTGAACACGATGCTAGTCATATGGAGTCGCGAGTACTACTAGCGAAGCTATATGAGAGCCTCGGGATGAGCGAACAGGCTATGAAGTATGCCGGCGAGGCAGTTCTGATCGGTCGGCAGGAAAATCGCAGCAGGAGAAGAAGAAAAGACACCAGGCTTGAACAGCTTGCCATAGAGTTCAAGATGGCTGAATCAGAACCCCTCCGGTCAATTGCGCCCAAACCGACACCGGCAGCAACACTTATGAACGTAGCTCCTTCGGTCCCTGGCAAAGGACGGGCGCAACCTGGCGAAGGTACTCGGACTGATGATATTCAATTCTTGTATGCGAAGTTGTTGGAGTTAAATCCCCAAGTCAAAGACGGTGTCCATGTAGCCATTGAAGATTGGCTGGACATTGCTGATGCTCTATTGCGCGATTTCCGGAGCAATCGGGCATTCTATCCGATGGATCGAAGCATTGCCTTTAGGGGATATTCGACCGGTGTAAAACACAAGAACCAGACCAAAAATGGCACAATGATGGATGAAATGCAGCAAATGGCGGGCCGTCTTCAGGAAACCCTGGGTATGTCACCCGGTCAATCCATCTGTACATACCATGCTAATGTTATATTTAGGAAATGTCTCGGAGGAGCCCTTACAGGGCGCTATTCCCACCGACTACCATGGAATTCCATTTGATGAGTGGCTTGACATCTTCCTGCAGTACGCTCTACTCGTTACAGAACAAGACGAGCCAGAAGAAGCTTATGAGACCCTTGATTCTGCGGCGGTTGCAAGCATCTGGCTGCACTCTCAGCCTAAGTCGCGATTGATTCATGTTTGCTGGTTCAGTAAGTTCATTCGATTTCTTATCAAGTGATTATCTACTGACACCTCTATAGCATGCGCTCTCCGCGCACGAGATGAAGAGACATTGGCCAATGAAGCCCGCTGGTTTATCAAAGAATACCAGTTTGTCACCGATACTTATCGGCTTTTCTCTATGCTGGGCCACCTATGTGGCGACCCTCACCGATCGCTTTTCCATTCCTCCGGAAACATGAAATTCATGCTTCGCCAAATCAAGGCGATAGACTTTACGATGCCACAAGATACCCCTCGACCCATCCGGCACTCTGTCTGGAAAGAACGCGCCACCTTATCCACACGGGATGAAGCCGGTGAGCCCATCACCGCGAAAGAGCTAGACATTGCTCTTCTTGTGCTCTATGGCCACATGCTGTACTCCGGAAACAGTTTCTACCCTGCGCTCAACTACTTCTTCCGAGCGTACGCCCTAGATGACCAAAACCCGGCCGTTCTCCTCTCCATCGCACTCTCATTCATCCACCACTCTCTCAAACGACAATCCGAGAATCGCCACTACCTCATCATGCAAGGACTGTCCTTTATGCACGAGTACCGGCTCGTTCGGGAGAAGCCGGGAACGCTCCTACCCGAGAAACAGGAGATGGAATTCAATTTCGCTCGTGTTTGGCACTCGCTTGGTCTGGCCCACCTTGCTGTTGAAGGGTACGACCGGGTGTTGAAACTAGGCGAGCAGATTCAGCAACAGGCCAAGCAAAAGTCTCTTCAAGAACCGACATCCAGAAAAGATGGTGCTGATGTGGTAATGGGCGACGATGGCCAACCCCAGGAGACTTCGTCACCCACTGGCCAGCCTTTCGTTGAGGATTTCTCCCGCGAGGCCGCTTATGCGCTTCAGTGTATTCACGTTCTCAGCGGCAATGCAAAGACAGCAAAGGCTCTTACAGAAAAATGGCTTGTCATCTGAGATCGGTTCATGTCTGCTTCCCAGATGTCTGTTGCTTTGTGAACAACCGATGCGCCTTCATTTCGGAATATGTATCATGTGAATTAGAAGTTCAAGGTCAGGACTATGAATTAATCTATAAATCTAATGAATTGAAACCAATATATGAATTTATCAAGATAGGATAAAGTTGACGGCCCGCAAGCATGTGGGGACGAGTGCGGAAATGCATGCGGAAATGAGATTCTTGCTTATCAACATCTCACACCGGGGCCCAATATATACACCTTATGGTTTTGCCTTATTACTGGCTCAAAAATGGCTAGCCTGCAAGTCGAGATACTTTTTCTCGAGTCCTTTCGGCCCTATCTCGCATAAATCCCTCCTAAACCTAACATTAATGTCTTTCGGCGTTGATGTCATTGAGTCATTGAAATAGAGAAGAGCATACGGCCACATAAGATCTCAAGTTCTAGCAAATGACTGCAGAAAGCACTCAAAGAGTGGGAGACAATTCCAGCTCTCGGATTGATGCAGAACTATTGCCGATCACCTCGGCACACTCCAATTCCCCCACGGTCCAGGGGTTTGGTGAAGACGAAAAAGGCCATGATGCCAATGTTCGAAGCTCGACGGAAGAGTCAATAGGAAAACGCAAGTATTGGAGATACTTTGCCGATGTCACTTCATGGACGCCGCCGCGATGTCGATGGAATCCAGAGGATCCGAGTAAATTCGGCTTGCCTTTGAACATCCTGTTCGCATTCTCGGGAACTTTCACGGTATGGCGTAGAAGAACATCTAATATGCAATAATAATTGCTAATACAGTCGTATAGGTTGCCAATCTATACTATTCACATCCCATTCTTGATGTTCTGGCCCGGTTCTTCGATGTCTCGCACGAGCGAGCCTCATTGATCCCGACCTGCAGTCAGGCTGGATATGCGACAGGATTAATCCTACTTTGTCCTCTTGGGGACTTGGTTCGGAGAAGGCACTTTGTTTTGCTGTTGACGCTTGTTACTGCGACATTGTGGATCGGTGTCTGTATCACCGAGTCATTCGAGGTATTCCTTGTTCTAAGTTATCTGTCTTCGGTCACGACTGTTACTCCAGTAAGTGCAACCAAGCATATACGAGGCTCTGGCATGTAACACAAATCTTATCATCTTTGCAGCAAATCATGCTCCCTCTCGTCGGAGATCTCGCCCCTCCAGCTCGTCGTGCCACAGCCCTATCAATCGTGTCATCAGGACTCGTCCTGGGCCTTCTCTTCGCCCGCCTGCTCTCAGGTGTAGTCGCAGAATACTCACACTGGAGGAATATCTATTGGCTATCACTAGCACTCCAATTCCTCATTTTCGCCCTTCTGTGGTTGTTCATGCCCGACTACCCATCAACAAACACCAACATCTCCTACTTCAAGATCCTGTATTCCATCATCGGATACTATTGGACATCCCCGGTGCTTGTTCAGGCCACTCTCATGGGATTCTTCCTCTCGGCTACATTCACCAGTTTCTGGACGACGCTCACCTTCCTTCTATCCGGCGATCCTTACAACTACCAAACTCTAATAATCGGGCTATTCTCTCTGGCGGGCCTTACACCCATGTTCCTGGGCCCCCTCTTCTCACGCTACATGATCGACAGATTCGTACCGCAGTTCTCCATTCTCGTCAGTCTCAGCATCCTGATCACCGGCGTCAGCGTCGGTACCTACACAGGCACGTATACTGTCGCGGGCCCAATTATCCAAGCTGCACTACAGGATTTCGGTCTGCAGATGACGCAGGTTGCCAATCGCGTTGCGATCTACAGTGTTGCGCCTAAGGCGCGAAATCGAATTAACACGGGATACATGATGGGCGTGTTCTGTGGTCAGCTCATGGGTACCTCTGTTGGGAATCGTCTCTACAGTCAAGGGGGGTGGATTCTCTCGGGAAGTGTCAATTTGGCATTTATTGGGGCGGCGCTGCTTATCTGTCTTCTTCGTGGCCCAGCTGAGAATGGATGGGTTGGGTGGCATGGTGGCATTCGCATCCGACGAACAGAGTGATGTCCTGCCGTGTTTGTGTTTTTGTTTTATTCCATGGAAATATCATTCCTGTCAATAGGCTTTGCGCTATAGACTACATATACGTAGAACCTTGCAAGGTGGCAATCCTCTTCGTTGGGAATTTGATGATCACCAGCACAAACAGCAAGCTAAGCTTACATAGGATAACCATGGTAGCATTGTTCGAGTTTATGGAACATCGTCGGCGGAAGCTAAGCCTAGAGGATGTACGCCAAACTGCCGCCAGCATGGGACTGCTTCTCTTACAATATTCGAAACGAATTTGATGAGTGCTTATCTATTTTTCTGTACGATGACGTTAATCAGCCCAGTTCTCAATTTCAGGCGTGCAGACTAATTTAGCAACGTTACATTGAAAGAGAATTGCTATCGGTTAAAGATCAAAGCTTGGTATTCACCTGTCTCCCTCTCTCCCCCTGTAGATTATATAGTTTTTGTTACATATCTCCGACCTCCAAAGCTGTTATATATAGATGTAATTGGTAACAACAAAGTTGTTACTATCAATCTCCGCACCTTCCGACTAGAAAGAAAAAGAACTCAAAGCAAGCAAAAAATAAATGGATGCCAAAGGAAGCTATATTAACGGAAACACCCCTGTGCAAATTTGTCCGAAAAAAAAAAGAATGCATCAGGAGGGAATCGAACCCCCCTCGCCAGTTTGCTAGAACAGAAAGATTTCCTGATCTGGAAGACTAGCATCATAACCACTAGACCACTGATGCGGTGGATATATTATGTAGGCCCCCTTCGGTAGATCATCTTAAAGCGAGCTTGTCAAAACATCTACATGGATACACGTACGTATATCGCCATAGCTGGGTAGATTACATATGATACATACTCCAAAGCGAAACTCTGAGTTCAAGTTGTAAATATGTTCCGTGTAGGGATGGAAAAGTATATACAGGCTTAATATAGACGGACGATCTACATCTGGATGACAGAGGAGGAAAAGGAAAACGGCCATTGCGAATTACTAGCGTGGAGTTAACCATTATTTGCAAATTGACAGGTACATAAAAAAATTCGGTTAATTTGAAAAGACAAATTCCTAGTGTTATAGTTCTGAGACGCCATTTGAAGCTACCTACATGTACATAGGCACTGATGTCACTTTTCATATTCCCCCGCTCGGCCAAGCCGAATGCCAGCAGATTCCAGCGGGTCGTGGACTTTGATATGTGCTTTATCAATCTGGCAGTTGTAGCCTAAGGCCCTTTGATTAGAACCTTTACATCTCCCAAACGTTATTACTCATACACTTGAAGCTGTCTATGCACACATTATAGCCCATCCTGATAAGAAAGAGAAGGAAAAGAAGAAAAAGAAGAAAAAGAAGAAAAAGAAGAAAAAGAAGAAAAGAAAAACAACGAAGCATGTGATTAAGAGCAACGGGAAATATGACAGGTGAAGCCAAAAACGATCAAATGCATATCTATAAGACAGAAGACACCTTGCTATGCTGATGAAGAGGGGGTAAGCGGGAAACAGAAAAGCAAAGACGCTAGACAGAGACAACGGGTGTATTATCCGAAAGTGCCCGTAAACACCGGTAAGAGCCGCCTGTCATACTGAATATTGGATATCCAAAGTAGCGAGAAGTATCATGACCAAAGATAGGGCTGCAGGTGCCCCGAAGCAGAAAGGCCCTAGTCAAAGCCATGAACTTTGATGGAGCCGCTCGAGCCGCCTGTAATTTTCTCAGATGACCAGGGCGTCTTCATCCCGATCGTAGTCCGCTTCGTCAAAGAAAACGGCAGACTGGCGTCTCATTTCCTCCATCACGCTTCCCCGCCGGGAAGTTGGGGTATGAGGACGTGATGAGCTGGTGGATTGGGACATGCTATCTGACAACTCACCGTAACGCGACTCGCTCTTATAGCTAGATCCATCGCGTTCGGGGAGGGTATCGTCTAAACGCTCAACCATAGAGTCTGAAGGTTCCTTTTCTCGATTGCGGACTCGACGAGAGAGGATCGGGGAGAGCGCACGTTCACCTGTTCGGGATTCTTGGAGACCTTTCATGATTGCGTTCTCAATCTTAAGCCGGTTCTGGATAAATTGAATCTTGGAGAAAGTACTTTGCTGGCCGACATGTATCATGCGGGCGAGCCTTTCAGGACTAGGATCGGAAAGAATGTGGATGAAATCAGAGGGAATGCTCTTTGGCCAAATAGTCACAGTGCCGCTGAACTTTTGCAACCAGATCTCGCTCCAGTCTTGGCCCATAGGTCGTGGGAGGAGCTCTAAATGTCGAAGAACTCGAAGCCATTTGTTGAGGTCTAGTTTGATGTACTGCTCGATTGCAGTGCCGAGGAAGCCACCGCGCCAACCACGGCCCCTGCGGTGTGTGACTGGTCGCCCTACTGTCCCTCTAGAACTAAAGAAGAAGAGGTTGATGTGAGGGTTGACCTGGGGTAGTGTTAGTGGCAAAAAACTGAATAGACGAAATAATCTTACCTGGGATACGATCGTAAAGTTCACATTGAAATGCAGGTTCAACGCTTTGATAGGTATGTCAGTCCGCAGACTACCATCCTTCCATTTGTGCCCAAACGAATAAGGCGCGAGAGTGCCATCGCGCTTTTTAGTCATTAATACAACAGGGTTTAAAATGCCCGGAACAGCCGCCGAAGCAAGCACGGCACTCCATATGACGCAATCGGGGCACGTCAGATAATTGGCTAGGATAGTTGGTGAGTGAGGATCCGAGGGCACGCAGGTGACATTCAAAATGCGCCCGGTCCGCTCGTAAGCTTCGCGAAAGGTCGTTGAGCCCCTGCAGAACCAGGCGCATTGCCGAGCCCAGTCCATAGTATCGAACCGAGCACCGGTTCGCCACCAGCGATGAATCCAAGTTTTCAGCCCTTCGTGGCATGCGCGAATCCGATGTGCTAAAGCTGGAACGAGCAGCTGCTTTAGCTCATCATCTGTCCGAGTTGCGACTAGTCCCGCCACCAGTGCTCCGCCTGACGTGCCAGTTATGATTTCTGGGAGGACATCATTATCCAGCAGCGCTCGTATAACCCCGAAGTGGTAGTAAGCGAATGTAGCCCCACCAGAAAGACAAAGAGCGGTGCGTCCGAAGTTCGTATCGAGATGTTTGAAAAGATGATACTTGGAATCCTTGTCAATCTGCCTATTGTCCAAAACGATCTGGATGCATGCATGCACCTCGTCGATGTATTCCTGAACCAGGTCCTTAGTCCCCGAATAGGTCTCGCTGTATATCCGAGGATTTTCTACGCCGGCAAAGTTGTTCTTGACGCAGGCCTCTAAAAGTGCCCGGAGATCTTCAATAGCAGGTACCTCGCTGGAACCGACTCGACCATTTCCCATTTCCCATTCCGCATCCTTCCTCCGCTGCTTCAGCTGCGACACCACTTTGTTGACAGTGAGGTAGTCGTAGTAAGCGTATTCGTCTTTCTTTTTCCAATTTTCGGTTCCGAGATGGACGTCCAACGCCTGAGCTGCTTTCAGCCAGTCCGGATAGTTTTTCTGTGCAGATAGCTCTTGGCGCAGTCTTTCTCTCTTCCCCCGCCACGTCACCCACTGCTCATACAATACTATGTAGACTCGCACCAGAACATAGCCAAAGCTCAATACTATGAGCCACGCGAATACAATGAAGAGGAAGGGCCATTTCAAGACAGAATATAGCACGCCTTCCCTCGTTTCATCTTTGCTTCGCTTTGGTGCTTTGCGACGGCCACGACTTTTGCGGACTCGCTGATTAATTGGGCGCCAGTCGTTGATGGCGGTCAATGGGGAGGCTTCTGGGGCATTCAGCGCCCGTTCGAATCGGTCGAGTTCATCGGGTTGAATGAAGTCGCGGTCATAGTCAGGGAGACAGGCCGGATCGTAAGGGTCGTACACAGCAGGTTTCTTCTCAGTGGTCATGTTCAACACATTCTGAATACACCAACAAATATATGTTGAGAGTCACAGAGGTACCTGGAAATCCGGTTGGGGAAGCTACGCTTGACGATCATGACGTTGGCGTCACGTGTTAGATTGTCCCCACATTGCCCCTAATGCATTTCCTAAACTAGCTAGTGCCGTTTGCATTTGCTGAGTCATCCAGATCTTGCCCCGCCAGATAAGAACCTTGGAAATGAAAAACATCACAGAACCATGGATGCCTCCGTAGCTAAACAGTAATTGCTTCCAATTCAGGACTCTGTTGTTCTTGCAAAAATGAGTAGATTGTGTAGATCTACCAGAAGCAATGTATTTAGGATTGACTTTGTTATGGTCGCACAATTTTCAACCTCGCTCGACATTCTTTGTATCGAGACTGAATTAACTTTGAGAAACTATGGCAGTCATCATCCCACCTTGACATGCTGCGGCATTTGAGTACGACAATGCCGCCGGCCGTGCGATGACACTGAAATTTTTGGAATGTACCCTCTATGCACGTCCTCCGGGAGTAATTGACATCCCTTCTTGCAATCTCTTATTCAAGGGTCCAATGCTCAATTAGCGGGGTTGTCGCGGTCGCCTCCCGAGTCCGAATGCGAGATTTCTTTTGTTCCGGCTCAAAGAATCATACTATAGCTCACCGCTAGATGGTGGACGGTTCAAATATCGAGAAATACATCGGTGTCCTCCCATGATTGGTAGGCGTCTCGGCAGAGTTTGTTTGTCGCAGCCGAATTGGAGGTCCAGGAAAGCATCCTATGGGCTGTCAGCGGGGGTCAACATTACTGCAGCCACATGCGCAAAAGACTGGGAGGTACTTTGTGCTCGCGGTGTCGGATATAAGGTACGGAGTAGGAGATCGGAATATTGGCCCCCTGTTTATATTATACGACAGGGAAGCGTCATTTTGGTCACCTGATGTTAAAAACGACGCCTTATTCACATATCGAGGATGATTTGCAGCAACTAAATATCCTTAGCGTCGTCACAGGCTGCAGCATTCGTTCATAATTAGACTCGTTTAGGATTGGATCTTCCGGACACTTTTTCCTCTTGGCCATGTTCGTCTTGAACGCTGATCAAACCTGCTAAAATTTTTAAATGCGATGTTAGAAAAGCAAACATCTAGTAAGCCATCGCTTTGCGTTGCTACTTCGCGATTCTACACTCACTTATACCAACGAGCTCTAAGCATCATTTTCGGTACATAGCCTTCGGCTTGCCTCGCAGCGGTACACAGCAGTATGAATATTTATTGTTCCGCATTGCGCGGTAGCCGCTCGGTTTATTGTGTTGCTTTAGCCTTTTATGACATCCCTGAACGTGCCGGGAGCGCCGACTTTAAGTGCGAACTCATTACCATATTCTCTCCAATGCCCCGCTCTTCCAAGTCAAGGAGGCCTTGGCATTTTCTCTATCTTCAATCGAAACTCGAATCATCGTTCCCTATTTGGCCATATGCAGATCATGGATCTTCCTTCGCGAAGTATTGTGGCGTTGTTGGAGCCGGTGAGAAAGCTTTCCCCGCTTACGAAGTTAACCCCCAGTACTCCCCGAACGTGAGCGGCAAAAGCAAAAGAGAAAAAAGCTCAGCGAGCCACATTTTAGTCCTTGGCAAGGGAATGCGTATGCTAATGACCCGTGCCGTGTCTTAGCCAATGAGCAGGCTCAACGCCGATGTATGTCCCATATCGCACTGCGTACTTGGCGGGGATCGTCCAAGGGTGGGGAAACTGTCCTCGGATCTCCAAGGCCGGGCAACGCCCGCAAGCATTTACTACTCGGGGCCAACTTAGCCTTCATTGTTTGATGTTGTCTGCGGTACTCCGTACTGGATATGTACAAACAACATTGTAGTACGGAGGGGCAATGTAGATCGAGTTGATCGGACATCATGTGCCCCTCCCCTTGGTTATGTGAAAAGGTATAATTTCCATGTGTCGAACATTTCCGGGGTTGGAAGGGGGGAATTCAGCCCTGATCGGCCGAAGCGACTGGCGTCTCATTTTGTTTTCTGAAGTACTTCTGGAAATAAATAGGGGCTGTCCATATGGTACATAGGGAGTGCATATGCGCTTCATAGCACACACTTCGATAACGGCAGGGATGCTGTAAACTCCTCGCATGAAAAGTGCAGTGTCGTATGCAGCGAGGTTGGGATCTGAAGTTGAACCGAGCGTTTGCGGCGCATTTACATAAATGTCCTGGAATGTTAGCTCTCAACATTTGGACCTAACTACAATGATACCCCGCGCTCTAGGATCTGTCGCAGGGATAAAAAAGAATAAATCATGGCAAATTACCTGTATACAAAGTTTAGAGGCGCATTTGTCCTTGATGCTCAAATATGAAACATTTGCAACACAATAAACTCATGCCGCGAAAACACAGGGAGTACCCTAGGGGGGGGGGGGTTGTCGACAGTCAAAACAGCCCGCTTCGGATAGAGATAATACATAGACAGAGACCTCGGGAGATGAAGGGGTAACATTGAACCATGGGTTGACAGCCGCCCTTATCCATTGTCCGTTGAAGCGGTGTGGGCTATCGGGACGGTCGAGCAGAACCATGGGTGAGATGAAACCATATCTACATTT